TTAGAAGAACTCTAACCTTCCTGGACAGACACATAGGAACCAGCTACATCACAAGTGAGAGCCCTAGTGGTGGCCTTCTATGGACAGAAGTTCTGCACCCTCTGCCAATCATCCCCTTCTTTTTCCATCACTAGGAAGTGGTCTTCCAAATCTTCTCCATGATGAGGGGTGTGGGAAGGCCAAGGACCAAGATCTCAGCCCTAACTACTGCCATCAGCCTGGAGTGAGAACTCCAGGCCTTGTTGATAATGTTCTCTCTGCCTCAGCTGCTGGGTCCTGAATCAGGTACCTGAGCCACTCACTACACTGTGGAGCTTTCAGGTCCTGTAGGAAGAAAGCAGCCACCACTTAGGCCTTAGGTAGCTTCAAAGGCTGCTAGGGCATGATCAAGACCAGCAAAAACAGGAGTAGCAGGAGCAGCAAGGTAAGCTTCTCGTTAGGCACCAGCAGCATAGACAGAATCCTGTGACACCAAGTTCTGAGAATAGGCTGCCCATCTGACAGTACAGGGCACAGGGGCAGTCAAGAGGAGCAGAGTGGCTCCATTGTGCTAGTGAGGGAATGTAGTCCATTTGGTGCAAAGGTGCTACAAGGGAGACTTACAGTGGCTCAGGACATTGATGTTCACTTAAGCAAAAACAAGATCAGAGCTCTTACCCTACTTGATTGCTTCACACACCCCCTCTCTGCCCACTGGGCAGCCTGTTCCACTGCTCTGTCACCCTCAAAGTAAAGAAGTTCTTATGAAGTTCAACAAGGCTAAGTGCAAGGCCCTGCACCTGGGTCAGGGTAATCCCCAACATCAATACAGACTGGAGGATGAATGGATTGAGAGCAGCCATGTGGGGAAGGACTCAGGGATATTGGTGGCTGACAAATTGGATATGAGCTACCGATGTGTGCTTGCAGCCCAGAAAGCCAAGCACATCCTGGGCTGCATCAAAAGAAGCGAGGCCAGCAGGTCAATGGAGGTGATCCTGCCCCTCTACTGCACTCTGATAAGACCTCACGCAGAGTACTGTGTCCAGCTCTGGAGCTCTCAGCACAGGAAAGATATGGACCTGTTGGAGCGGGTCCAGATGAGGGCCACAAAGATCCGAGGGCTGGAGTACCTCTCCTGCGAGGAAAGGCTGAGAGAGTTGGGACAGTTTAGCCTGGAGAAGACAAAGCTGTGGGGAGACCTTATTGCTGCCTTTCATTATATAAAGGGGGCTTGTAAGAAAGACGAAGAGAATTTTTGCTAGGACCTGTAGGGACAGGTCAAGGGGCACTGGTTTTAAACTGAAAGAGAGTAGACTTTCATTGCATATAAGGAAGAAATTCTTCACGATAAGGGTGGTGAGGCACTGGACCAGGTTTCCCAGAGAAGTTGTGGATGCTGCCTCCCTGGATATGTTCAAGGCCAGGCTCGATGGGGCTTCGAGCAACCCGGTCTAGTGGAAGGTGTCCCTGCTCACAGCAGGGGGGGTGGGACTAGATGATCTTTAAAGGTCCCTTCCAACCCAAATAACTCTGTGATTCTATGATTCTCTTCTATGGTTTGAGTTTGGATTAGGCATTAGGGTTAAAAGGGTTAGGGTTTGGCTGAGGAATAGTAGTTAGGGTTAGCATTAGCGTTATGGTTAGGGGAAAACATATAAAATCATTGCTTTTGAAACACAGAAACACAGGTTGTGGTTATTTGACCTCATTGGGGCATCTCCCCCCAAAAAAAGATTAATGCAGAGAAGAAATGACTGATCAGTCTGTGGTATCAGTCTGGAAAGGGCCTATACAAGCAACAGCAAATATATAAAACCCTCAGTAATGAGAGGTCTAGGTCTGAGAAGAGGGGCTAACCTAGAATATTCAAACGGAAATGAAACATTTGAAAATTCACTAGAAATGACACATCACTGAGGTATTTCCCATTTACTTTCTTATCTGGTTTTAATGTTATAGCAAGTTCACAACTTGTAGCTTGACTTTTTTCTTATTTGTAATTGTCTTCATATAAATGACTCACTGGAATATGAAGCGTGAACAGAGTGTAAATATTACCTGAACATACATGTTCTTTTGCCTGCTTCCAATACATTGCCTAATTTCTTAAATGTACATTTATACAAATTCTTGTACTGTGTTTCTTCCCTGATTGCCTAGTCCTTTTCAATTAGGTATGTATAGTATGTATGTTCTACCACAGTGCTTAAACATCAAACAGCTGTTTCTAAATGTATGACAAATATAGATAGTATGATTCAGCAGATTAATTTTGTAGAAGCTCTAAGAAATTCTAAAGAAGTTCCATTGTCAAATACAGTTAAGATCTACAGCATAACTAACTAGGCAAATCTAAATCAAAGTTTTGCAGTGTTAACTTTCATCCCTCTGACCGGGAACAGAGTCGGAAACACATCTCATTCTGTTCTCCTTTTTGTGAAACCATCAGTGCTTTAGGCTTGGCTGTTTTAAAAATATTTCTAAGCTTGATAGCTAAGGACTAAGATGGTAGAGACAGGCAAACAGCCTACATCGTATTCCCACCCTAAGTACTCCAGAAAGGAAATGCTCACCATCCCAAAAGAAGTGCTCTTTTGACATCCATCTGGCAGAACACAGAGGTGGTAGACAGGACTGACAAGCCGCCAAGCCTAAACCATCACTCTTTTGCAGGTATCTGTGACACATTTCTGTTAAAAATGACTTCAACTAAAAAGATGGGGAAAAAACCCACAGGTACTCATAGTAGTGTAGAAAAGTCTAGGCTATTTAATTCCATCTCAGTATGCCCTGTTGAGAAGTTGCCCTGACACAAAGCAACAGCTTTGAGCACTGGAACACCACAGTTTGGTTCTGAAAATAAAACAGCAGAAAGTTTTGTAGAGCATTTATAAAAGAAGGGAGAAGTAGTATCTGCAGAGAACTTGGAAACTATTTAGTTCCCAAAGTCATGTGTGCTCTTGTAAGCTGACATAACAAGGAGGAGTCATGGAGTTGCTTTCACTGGCTGTCAGATGGTGGGGACTTGTGTCTGAAATGTTGGGATATACCACTAGCAAAAATGATAGTGGAGCGTAGAGTAGAAATAATTGTCAGGCAAGGAAAGGAGAGAAAGGAACAGTTAGCTTTGAAGACCTCAACTTGGCTTAGATTGGAACTTGAGACCCTGAAAAAAATCAAGATGTTAAATGTGAATGAAGGTTAATGCAGCAAGGGATTAACCTGGCAGGTGACCTACCAGTCATCTCTCAAGACGAAGACTATAAAATTGGTGCTGTAATAGTTCTTCATAGGTATTCTTGCAATCTGGGCACGTAAAACTCCAGTGGGCTAATCATCTAGTTCCTCCTTATTCAACCCTGACTTACCAAGACTTTCCAGATCACCCCTCTAAGAATAATTTTTTTCCACTGCTGCAGTTGCTACTTTCCAACTTTACCTCCCCTTTTCCTATCAGTGATCCCCCATTCTCCAGTGCAGCCACACCTTCACCCAGGGGTCTACTGATTAGAGCCTGGAGTGATAAAGAACCATTTCTGTGGTCCTGGGAACCGATGGGCTCCATGACACCTCCCAGACCAATTTGACAGCAGCAGCCAACAGAAATGGGAACTCACAAAAGTCAAGGGTGTAATATATTCACAGGCATTGTGTAAGAGATTTGACAGTGAACTATTATCTTGTTAGGATGACTTTTATCAGGGAAATACTGCTGTGAAAGATACAGTGTATATCAAACCGCAGTGCTGAGTTTATTGGTTGAAGATTTGAGTTGGCACAGATTCTGCTAAACCCTACTGCACTGGCGTGGTTTCTCTAGGAAAACCTTCAGCCGATTTCTACAAAGCACACAGGGCCAGGGAGCAACACAGAAAGAGAATAACTTCTCCAGAAATTATTGCTCTTTCTGTCAGTATGTAGACCCAAGGCTGTTTCTTTTGTTCTTTTCTTCCTAATGACTATCAAAAGACAGCATCAGGGCAGTGCGAGCAGCATCCCGAGTACTTCAAAACCAAATGAGAGAATGGCAGTTTAGCTGATCTGGGGAACTTGCAGTATGACAAAAGCACACCAGACAATCCTGAGGAACCTAAGAAGACAGCGCTGGAAAAACAGAAGACAGCGCTAGAAAATTGTCTCTGCAAATGCTGCAGTTTTCAAGGACTGCAAGCAACCAAGACCACCACAAAGAATCAAGCCCTGTGCAGGAACCCGGCATGCCGTACACGGACAGGGCCGGGTGAAGCAAGGTTTAGCCTCATTCTGTGCTTCCTTCATCTGTTCCACTCCCTGCACAGCCCCCCGCGCACCGCGCACTAAGCCTGCATGAGGCGCCGGCTCTGGCAGCGAGCTCCTCTCTGGAGGCACTTCCCGGCGCCCAGCCCTCTCCGGGTGGTCTGGCTAGCGAGGGAGGACGCCAGGCCCGTCAGAGCGCTCTGCGCTCTCTGCTTTCCGGCGACTGCCGCCCTACTCCCTCGCCATCGCCTCGCCTCGGGCGCGGCACC